CACTCAGAGTGGGGGTTACAACCTGCACCACTAGGCTCTTTGATGCTGTGCCTTTTATCATACCCCAAGTTTCAAGGCCACATTTTTGTCTGTTTTGCAACAGGGTGGCTGGGAAGCTGATTTCCCCATGACTTACTCAGAAAGTCCCATGTTTCTAACGTTTGAGGCAAAATGATTTGTATCATGAAGATCAATTTTTAACTGCAGATGCTGAATGACTATAAAGTTGTTGAAAACATTTTAACTAGTAAAGGTTTGCAGACATTACTGATTGTTTTTACCAAATGTTTGATTTTGAATATAACTTTACTAGGGAACTTGAGCACTGTGATGCGACACAAATTTAACCAATAAAGATACAAAATTGGGCTATTGAACTAACTCTTTCTATTTATACCCATTGCCTCAGGAAATTATCTGAAGCAAAGCACCTTTTTATGGATTGGAGCGAGGAGCTGTAGGGTGGAGGGCTGAACAAGTAGCCTCTCTTCTCTCAGCTCTAAGAAAGTTGTTATTGTATAGGTCACATTTCTGTATGTATCTAATTAACACTGAACTGTTCCATATATCTAGAAGGGCATGAAAACACACACAAAAAGAGCAACATAGCAATGTCTTTCTCCCTAAATGTACAAACTTGCATAATGATCATGTTTGTGCGAGAGTAGCCAGAGTTTCTGATTTCTCTGCTTCTAAAAATATCCATTGCATTAAATTCCAAAGGTCAGCCTTGGTCTCATTTGGAATGTTGCAAGCCAAAGACTCTCCAGTGATACCCAAGGAGCAGGATGGAGGATAACTTCAGCCGTTAAACCACCATCCGTTCATATTGCAAAGCTACAAATGGAAAATGTATGTGCAGAAAACAGTGCTTTTACAGGCATTGTCCGTATCCTGCAAATCTGTCTTGGCTGAAGCTCCTTGACTGTATATGCTCAACGGCCTTCCGATCTTTAAGAATCTGAAATGTGTGTAACAGCATTAAGACCAGAGCAAGAGCAACAATTTTGCAGCTTTCAAAGTGTTGAAACACAATTTTATCAATCAAATGGTAGTTTGGATTTAAATCACAGCTACCTTTTAGTGTACAGTACTCAACCAAGGAATTGTTTCATACAAGACAGACCTTTTGCATGTCCATTTCTGATTATCCAAAGTTTTCTAGGCAAAGAAAATCAGAAACCCTTGTTGCTGTATACAAAATATTTGTCTATTCCATTTTGCCCTCTAGGAGTGCACTGAAATGCCGCATTTTAGATGATATTGCCCCCTAGTGGCTACCTCAGGCAATAGCTCCCCCATTGCTATATTGCAGCCAGTGGGAACCAGCCAGTGCCTCTAAGTAAATTCCAAGACCAGAGTGACTGAAATGTCTGATTATAACACTATAAGGAAGGGGGGGAAGGATTGGATGGAGAGGACTGAGATATCTCTATATCAAAAAGGTGCAGTGGAGAAATTTCAATGAAGAAGGGACCTTGGAAGTCTTCTAGTCAAATCACCTGCTCAAGCTGGAGACCCTATACAATTTGAGCAAGCGCTGTCTCTTCATAAAAACCTCCAGTGATGAAGCACCCACAATTTCTGAAGGCAAGCTGTTCCACTGGTTGTCCTCACTGTTAGGAAGTTTCTCCTTAATTCCAGGTTGCTTCTCTCCTTGATTAATTTCCATCCATTGTTTTTTGTCTTGCCTTCCGGTGCTTTGGTAAATAAGTTGACCCTTCCTCTTCTTTGTATTCAGCCCCTCAAATACTGGGATACTGCCAGCATGTCACCCCTACTCCAAATCCAAATCCTGCAACTGTTCTTCATATTGTTTTAGTCTTCAGACTACCATTTGATTGTTGCTCTTCTCTGCACTTTTTCCAGTCTCAACATCTTTTTTTTTGTAATATGGTGACCAAAACTGGTGCTGTATCCCAGGTGTGGTTTTCATGTGATTTTGGTTCTATGCCTGTTTATACAACCAAGGATTGTATTAGCCTTTTTGTCTGATGCTGCATACTGCTGACTCATGTTTAAGTGACCCTCCACTGAGACTCCAAGGTCCTTCTCAGTTTCTGTTTTTGAATCAGGTTTCGCCTAATCTGTACTTGTATCTTTGGTTTTTCCTGCCTAAGTGTAAAACCTTGCTTTTCTCCACATTAAATTTCATTTTGTTGGTTAAGTCTGTCAAGATCTTTTTGGATCCTGAGCTTGTCTTCTGCAGTGTTGGCTATTCCATGAAAACAGAATTAAAATGCTTAAGATAGAAAGCTGTTGTGCGTATATTGCTGTAGATTTCTTGATGCATGCTTGTTGTTAATACAGAACTGTTGGGACATCCTAATGCTCTGGCAGGGAGGTAGTGAACTTATTGAATGGGGACACAGAACTTCAAGAAAAGCCATTTCTGGTGATTGAACAAACTGACCAGTCGGCCAATTTGTCTTAATGGGTTCATGAGAAGCTAATTTTAAAATTATTTTAAACAAGTAATTTTTAATAATTAATACTATAACTATTCATGCAAGATTCTATATTTCATGCAAGTATAGAAAAAAAATCAGTGTACATGGGCAATGAGCATAGAGAAACACAAAGTGGGGAAGTGTCTATGGCGCCAACTGCTAATGTTGCCATAGTGAGAGAAGGGGTCGATACTCATGAATCAATTAGGGCATTTTTAGGAAACCTGACATAGAGATTCTCACTCATCTAAGTCATGGTTGTCCCAAAGGTGCTGTTTAAAAGGATTTTCTTAGTTCTTCTTCAGCAGAACTGAAGAAGCTTCTTGGATGAGAAGGAAAAAAAAAACCCCAAGAAAATCCAGCTGTTTTCTGAATAAGTGTTAAGTCCCTTTGTTTTCTGAACAAAGGGAATTACACTTGGGGATTTTTGTAATCCCAAAGTGTAATTCCCAAACACTTTGGATTTACAAAGTGGGGATTGTGGATCTTGTGTCCTCTCTGCCATTACTGATTTCAAGCGGAGAATAGGAGAAACAATGCAGGTATACAATGTATGCATAGGTGTACAAATGATATAGGTACAGAATTAATATTTTGCTGACTATTTTTAAAAAGATATTTCTCCCATGCCAGCATGGTGGGATGCAAGACCAACAGACTCAGCGTTGATTTTTGATTTGTTGATTTTCTGAAACAAAATAAGATCTCATAGAAGCCCAGGTGCTTTATTATTCCAAAAACAGTACCTGGGGTTCTTGGCGTTTAATAGACCATAACTTTACTAAGCAATTTTTCAACGTTTTATGCTATGGCTTCCTGGAATCATGTTTCTTTAGAACATTGGGGTACAAGTTTTATTCATTACCTATTGCACAATGTTTTCATCCTATCATTTTCTAAAAGGCAGCATGTGTTCCTTGTTCTGCTGAAAATAGCTGAAAAGAGTTCTATAGCAAATGTGCTGTGTCTTATTGATCATCCAGTGATTAACTTCCCAATTCTGGGGGCAAGAAAATACGCTGTGCTGTCTGGGCTTGTCAGAGTTTTGGTTAGGATTCTGCGTTTTCTGAGATCGGAACTGTTCCTCTCCTTAAAAAATCCCTCATCCACTTGACTGATGCCACATTGCATGAAGCCTGCTATTACAAATCTGTATCAACATCATCAAAGGTTTAGCTATACGGTGCAACAAAAGCATTCGACAATAGTAAGATTCTTAGCAGAAATCTGCTTTTACAGTATATGGAAATAAAGAATCTGAATGAATACAACTTACTTCCCATTCACCAGCATTTTAATCATTTTACCAACCACGGTTTCCAGTTCATTCAGCAACAAAAGTCTATTACTATTTTATTACTGTTTTCATCTTTCATTGCCTTTAGAATGAGATAACGGGCCCAACAGTTCTTTCCATTGTATCAATTCATATTCGCTTATGTGGGGGATTCATGTCAATGCACTGAGTATAAAGAGAATAGGGAAAAATCATACACTGCAGGAAAAGCACTGAATTCTCTCCCCACCCCCACCCTGCAAGTGTTTCTCTGCAGCAGCCTATCTCATAAGGCCTTTACAATTTGACACTGAAAAGCAAACCAGTGGTGGCTGATGATGACAGAGACATCTGCACACAAAAGTGAACATTTGTTTAAATTAGCCAGCAAAAGGTAGAATTTAAACCCCCTAAAGAGCTAAAATGATTAACTGAAGAGTGTGAGTTTGTTTTCAAACATGCGATTTGATGAGTCTGGATAGAGAGCTGAATCTGTCTGTGGTTAGCAGGCGGCCACGTGTAAACAGTTTCCAGATGGCAATTCAGAAGAAGATGCTAGCATCCTGCCCTTTACTTTCCTACTCTCCCAGGAACCCACCAATCAGCTCTTTGGCAGGATGCAAGGAGGTGCTGTCAGGCTGCACCAGTGCTTTTTGGGCTGGCCCTGGCCATTTGGCCACAGGGCGCAACCATGATAGTACTATAGCTGGGTAGAATACTTACTTACTTATTTATATTTTACATTTCTGAACCGTTCACCTCCCTCAAAGAGGGAATAGCCAGAGGTATTATCATACAGTACAAACATACCCTTCTTCTTCCACACAATGGGCTAGGGAAGGCCGTGTCACACATGTTTTTTATGTCTACATAGATGCTTACACACAAATCCTGGGAACCTTAGAGAAGAATTAGTTTCGCAGCCAGGGTGTGAAGAATAGAGAACTGATGATGAAGCATCGGCTGGAGAGGTTTATGGCTGCTCCCACATCATTTGGGGATTTTTCTCAAGACCATGATCTAACAATGCTAAACTTTAAGGGGATGACATTGGAAAACTGGCTCTGGAGTTTGTAGGGCTTTCTATGAAGTTAGTAAACATGGAACAAAATAAGAGAGAGAGTTAGAGTTGCTATGCAGCTGTTTGGGAACCCTGGCTCTGGCTGCAGTCTTTTGCTCACACACTTACGTAAGGCACAAAAACTTGAAGACGTCTGTTTCAGAACCAGTTTGGCTCCACATGAAAAAAACAACAACTAAGTTCACAAAGCAGAGGCTTTTCTGCCTGTCAAACATCCACAGTTTAATAATGTTGTCCTGCTTTCCATAGGTTATGCTGCACTTCAAATAAACTTGCAAACATACCAGAAGAAAAATGCACAGATGCAGTTCACTTCTTAAAGAATGGAAGGAATAACTTCTCTGCTCTGAGAAAGAACACAAATTATAAACTCAGCACTCACTTTTCAAATATCCAGAGATGTGTGGCTGACTTTTCCCAAAATATATCTTAGAAAATAAGTGCCATTTCCTATCTCCATAAGCTCTGTAACAGAATAAAATGCCCTCTCTTATGCAAGAACCAAAGCCTGCATTAGGGAGGCAGAATATTCTAAGCAACATCGTTGCTCAGAATCATGTACCATTTTTATAACTTTAAGCCCAAGTTGTCTAGGGCAGCTTTCACACTGGAAAGGGGAAGGGAAAAGATGAAAGAAATGATTAAAGAATCTTCAAACTCTGAACTAGCCACTCTCCCCATCTTATCCCTGAGACCACAAACCAGATTGACCTTCCTTCTTCCCCTAAGACAAGAGCCATCACTTCACTGAGCGTCTTCAGCCTAAAGCTCCTTCAGGGCTTTGCTATATTTTTGTCTTTCCTCTCAGGAAAGTTGCTGTCATAGACCTGGGAGCAACGAAGGGTCAAGTTGTGGTCTAGTAGTGAAGGCACCAAGCTATAAACCAGGAGACCAGTGGTGTGATTCAACCAGTCTGACAACCGGTTCACTGAGCGCATGCTTTGCTAAAGGGCTTGCCTTCTACTGCAGCTGAGGCGCACCAAAACAGCAGAGGAATGGGAATCAGCTCTGCCGCGCCTATCAGCCGGGCTAAAAAACAAGGAAATATAGGTGAGTATAGCCCAGGGATGGTGGGTGGGACCAGGCCCATTTGAAGGTCGGAGCGAACTGGTTCTCTCGCAGCTGATCTTCACAGCTACTGGTTCCCCCGAACTGTAGAATCCCACCCCTGCAGGAGACTCCGAGTTCTAATCCCTCTTTAGGCATGAAAACTGGCTGGGTAATTTAGGCCACTCTTTCTCAGCCTCACACCCCCCCCCCCACAAGGTTGTTGTGGGGAGGTGTATTAGGTATGTTCAGTCCCTTGAGTTACTTATAAAAATAAGGGGGATCATTTTTTTAAAAAGTCTCAACAGTGAGAAAAGTTTTCAGCTGAGCTGGCTTCACAGCATTTTTACAAGACATTTCTTAAAAGATCTTAATTCTCAATGCCTTCCCACCTTCTGCCTTTCAGGACAGACCAAACCTAGATCAGCTACAATTGTCTCCACCACTCATGATCCTGGGAATGATGAACTGCAGCCACTAGTGGCCAAAGGGTCTGTTGTGTGGCAGAAATGGGAAGGGTTTCTTCCAGAAGTGACACACACACACATACTCTCCAAGCCGTGCTCTAAAAAAAATCAATACATGTGAGGGAAAGATTTGTTAATCAGTCTTCTTTTGGACCCTCAAAACAGAGGACTGTAACATACAGTAGAGCACAAACTGAAGTAATGAAAGATGGTAGCTACTTTTTCTTGGATTCAGTTCAACCCCACCAATCTTTTAACTTCCCAATATACAGGAGCTGCAAGTTCTCTGGCTTTCTCTGCTCCGGATGACAGAACCTCTTCCAGGTAAGATTTGTCTTCTTTTAATCTCTTAAACTCATTCCTAACGGGTGCAAGTTTTTCGATGACCGCTTCAGCCACCATTGCCTTGTAATGGGCCGTATCCAGGCCAGTGCTCTGCTGTACCACTTCCTCTGTGCTGAGTCCTGTTGCAGCAGAGTGAATAGCCACAAGATTGGAGACTCCCAGGCGGTGTTCGGGATCATAGGTCACTTCAGAGGTAAAGTCTGTGACAGCCTTGCGAAATTTCAGCTTGATCTCCTCAGGACTATCGGTGATGCACACCGTGGCTAATTTATGAGGGTCTGATTTTGACATCTTCGATGTGGGATCTCTGAGGGACTTCACTTTTTTGGATGAGGCTATAATCAAAAGCAAAGAGGAAATTACAACCTGTACATAATATAGGAAAAGAGCCATGTTAGTCCAGTATAGCCCAAAATCAGAAAGAGTCTGGCAGCATCTTTTTAAAATTCACCAATTTTTATTTTAAATTTTGTGAGCTGCAAGTCACTTCATCAGATGCAGAGTGATTTGATGGACATGCGATGCAGAGTATCAAACTACCCTCTAGATCTGACAGGCAGCCTTTCATATAGCTTTTGTGGCCTTACACATATTTTCCCAGTTGGAATGATGACATATGTTTGTTTCAGACTGCCAAAAAGCTTCATTGTTGAATTTTCTTTTCTTTGATAGTTGCCCAACCTCCTCCTCCCATCCAAAACATATTGATATTATTCAACCAGTGCCTCGTTGTGCTTTTCACTATTCTTATTACTCACTTAGAAGGGCTTTGGGTACTGGAAAGAACTCCCCATACTTCTTATTGAAGTGGCGGGCTGTATCTTGAGTCAGCTCCAAGTGGAGGATTTGATCTTCTCCAACAGGAACATGTGTTGACCTTTCAAATGAAAAAGGAAACTCTGCCATCTTATCTGCTTATTTCAAACTCCTTCAGAAAACTGAAGAATGAGTGCTAAATAGAGCAATTAGATTTGCTGGTCATTTACGGAAGCTGGAGCAGAAGGAAATTTTATTCTCCTTCCAAGCGTTCAGCAGTATGTTCTCCATAAGATCTGCTACAGAGCAATTAGCACTTCTTAAGGTGGAGGGCAGGGTATCTGTTCCACAGTTGATACCATTTTGTTGGAGGGAGTTAGATGCTCTCAGTAACCCAGCTGTGCCTTTTCTCTGCCACATTATATTACATTCCATCTGCAAATAGGGAAACTGTCATTCTTACTTGTAGAGAAGAATATCTGCCGCTTGAAGGACAGGATAGGTGAAGAGCCCAACAGTTCCTCCACTTGTCTGACTGGCCTTTTTAAGCTAGTGGTAGAAAAATATATAACATTGATTAATCTCTTTATTATTTGAATAAAGTAGTCAAAATTAGGCTAGGTTGTTTTTCCATAAACCTAGAAATTGCTTGCTTGCTTGCTTGCTTATTTATTTATTTATTTATTTATAGAGAATCAGAAAGTCACTTAAGCAAATTCTTTAAAGGAGCAGCCTACAAAAAGTGCAATTAAAAAAACCTGAAAAATAGAGGATTCAAATATTTAGTGATCTCAGCAATATCATCAAGCTTTCCCACTTCTTCTTTATGTTTATGCACAGTCAGAAGAATGGGCTATTGAGGTGATGGAGAAGAACTTTCCTAGATAGCTCACCTCTGTCTTCTCAATGGAATCTTACCTTCCACTGGGGAAAATGTTCCAGACGTGGGATGCCTATCAAACACCCTAAGACCCAGCTAAGCTGAGAGTGTTCAGGCACCTGAAATAAATGAAATATGAAAATAAGTACATTGTGTTTTTAATAAAAACTCAGCACCAATTGGAAGATATCCTTCCAAATAAAGGCAAGGATTGTTTGTGTGTATATGTGTGTGTGTGTATGTTTGTTTATTTAATGTATTGGGTAATTTTAGCTCCCAAAAATATATTCTAGGTTCAACTTGCTGACTTGGCCTACTTGTATATCACACCAAAATTAGTAAAAATACTTTTTCACTTTAAATAACGTATTTTTTGCACTATAAGACGCACTTATAGAGTGAATATTGCAGTGGGGGTAGGGGGGTTAGTGCAGTGTCGTCGAATGGAGCACGAATCGCAGCCATCAAATGGAGGCGATCAGCGGCCATCCCCACACCTAGAACAGCTGATTGGCAGTATTCCAGGAGGCCGATCCAACTGCCAATCAGCTGCAGCGAAGGCTCCAGTGTTCCCCAACGGCGGCAGCAGCTCAGTTCAATTGACCAGTGGTGGGTACAATGGAACGGAGCCCTGATGAGCCACTAGTTTTGAGACTGTTTCTTGATTATTTGTCTTCCAGGAGAAATAACCCTAGCTTTTTTCTTTGATGGTCAACGTTATTTGACCAATGTCTTTCCTTTATCTTTGGATTCTGACTGTAAATTCTTATATATGCTGGTACGTTTTGTTTTCTGTGGGTTACTGTTAATCTAATCTTCCTTGGATAGTTTTCTAAGAAACTACGTTTTTAAAATAAACTGATTGTTGTATTAATGTTGAATGATTTCACATATGTATCCCTCTGGCAGCTTTTCCAGATTTTTCCCTTTTTAACTCAGCCAATGAGATTCAGAGCCAAATAGCAGTTCCAGATCACTCTGATCCAAACTACCAAAAAGTCTATGGATAATAGAAACAATGAAACAGTTAAATCAAAGCTCTGATTATTGGCAATACATTGCCAGACTTTATTCAAAAGACAGTTATTAATGGCCAGAAAAATAGTATTAGCTTGTGGCAGCAAATTAAAGCAAAATTCTTCCGCTCTGTTTTTGGAAAGTGACACTCTTCAGCTGGAGAACCACATTTGTGTCAATTTGAATCTGCAATCAAAAGCAGGAGCTCAAACAGTAGCTCTGTGGAACTGAGTGCGGAATCTGTCATTCTGTGTTCAAGAGCATTTTTGGTTCTGTCTTATGTCAGTACAGAACTGTTAATTCTGAAAAACAAAAAAAAATCTGGCACATTAATTCTAAGAAAAAGAACCATTTCATTCCTTGTAAAAACCATTGAAAGAGCAAAGAATATTAATATCAAATAAAGAAGATGCTATCTGACTTAAACATATACTCTACTAAACATATTTTAGCCAGGTTGTTATTAGAATGTTTTTGTTAAATGTTTTGCCTCCCACTGGTTCTTTTCTCTCTTCTCTTATGCAACAGTGTTAATTTGAAATCAAATATTCCGAAAGGTTCTCTTCTGATATATTCTAGTTCTTTTTTTATGTTTGCCATTTCTCTTGGGAGAATCTTAATTCTTTTAACTATTGCAGCTGGTCTTGGGTTTTTGTTTTGTTTTGATGAAGCTGTTGGAATGCCACATTAGGGACAAGGCTTATTACTGCTGGAACTATCTTTGCTTTCTTTTGCCAAAGTCATTCTGCTTCTTTTTGCAAATCTTCATTTTTTTAGATTTTCTCCAGTTCTTTCTCTTCTATTATGCTGCCTCCCAGTACTGTCACATCCACTCTCCAAACTTTTTTTTGTCTTTCTTCTTCTTCATTAAATAAACATTAGGACCCGTTAAAATTTCAATATGTCCCAAATGAAAAAAGCTTTTCATAGAGAGAGAGAGTTTGGAAAACTTTTTCATGCAAGATGCCTATTTTTCATACACGCTTCTGCCTTGACTTGCCAAATTGCATACCTTTGGGCATTTCAAATGTGGCACTGAAAAGAAAGCACTGGGAGCCTTGCGTTTGTAGTGGCAATAAATGGAACACCAGATCAGCAGGTTCTGTGGCCACTTGGGTCAGCCTCCTGCTGGTAAGGACAAACTAAAGCCAGAACAATAAATTCAGGTACCCCAATGCAGGTATTTTGCAAATTATTTCACTGGCACAAAACATTCATGTTCATTCTGTACCTATTTACTTAGGGCAGAACCCTACCATTAAATCAATGTTAATAAGGATCATCTGCTTTGAGGGAGGGAAGGGGCAGAAAATAAGCAAATGAAAATATTACTGTGTTACTTAAATGCAAGATTGCAATCAAGAAGCATGCTCGCAGTCTTCAGTATAATTGGTTATGTTCCACACTGTGTTGCACTTAGCTTCTGTTCATACATTGCATTAAATCATGTAGTTTATTTGGTTCTGGCTTATCGTATTATATAATTAGTGGTTTATGGCTCCATGTGTTATATAAACTGAATCCCCCTGCAACCTATTCAACAAATCTTGTAGCAATCACGAATTAGCAAAGAATGTGTTTCACTTTTAAGCTTCCCACCCTCCGCGTGTCTGTTCTCTTCACACGCTCGAGGTTCTCATTCCTCAAACTCTGCCTGAATGGTGCAGAACCTTCTCTTTAAAAATGTTACTCCAGAGTTCATAAACAATGCAAAATTATTTTAAATTCTCCCTCCTGCCTTTGCTGCTGTTATTGTCAGCACCAATTATTTTCTCTCCAGTTCCCAGAGATGCTGATGCTATGCTAAAGCTACAACCATCAGACTCTTCCTATTCCTTCTTTGGACCATTGCAATTTAACACCAGAATGGAACTCCTTCCTCTTCCTTACAGAAACTCTTCCTCCACACTGCGGTGCAAGTACTCAAACCATAAAAACTCAGCTTCGTAATACATTTTTTCTTCTATTCTCACTTCCCCATTTAATTCTGTAATGTACACCAGGGCTATAAAGGAAACAAGATGAAGATTCTGAGGCATAGCCACTTGCTCTTTCATTCCAAAGATTGTAACTGGCCAAAATGTTTATCCTTTGTAAGTGAGCCCAGAAGCAGCTCTTCTAAAAGGCTGATAATCTTTCCTGTCCATTGTCCATCTGTACTATTCAAAATAAGCTTTGAATATTGGTGTAGATATGTGGGCAACAGCATAAAGACACATACACACACATACACAGAGTATGTTCTAGAAAAACCATGCAGAAACCTCCAGAGGAAGAGGCTGACCTGGGACTGCTGGAAAAGGAAGCATCTTTGTGGGTTTATACCACAGGCCAGGAGAACAGCAGTGATGTCTAGGATGCTTTCACGTAAAACAGCCGGCTCTCTTGGTATGGTGAGGGAATGGAGGTCCACAATGCTGTATAATACAGAACTACATTCTTCCTGTAGCTTTACCCAGCTTGTGATGACTCCAAAATAATTCCCCAGGTGAGGAATCCCGGTTGGCTGAATTCCTGAGAATATTCTTTTCAGACCTTTGTTCTGTAAGAAAACCATAACCATAGGTTTAGATATAAGTAAATTATCACGGACAACTCACATATAGTTCATGCAGGTATGCTCTTCTTCCCACAAAGCTCAGATGAATCCAACAAGTTTGGGAAGCAGCACAACTAAGGTCACAATGGCTGCCCATTAAATACCACTTTATACTAAAAGGTTGTATAGAGTCCTGATGGCGCAGTGGTTGGAATGCAGTATTGCAGTCTTCTAACTTTGCCCACTGCCAGGAGTTTGGTTCTGATGGGGTTCAAGCCTTCCATATTTCCGATGTTGGTAAAATGAGGACCCAGATTGTTGGGGGCAATATGCTAACTCTGTAAACCACTCAGAGAGGGCTGTAAATCACTATGAAGCAGTATATAAATCTAAGTGCTATTGCTATTGCTATAGTATTTTTTATGCTACTCTCACAAACAGCTTCAATCTAAGCTTTTCCAGCAAAATAAACAAAATTCATACAATAATTAATCCAAATATTATCTAGTCACTGCTTTCATTTTGATCTGAAAGAAAGGTGATGGAAGAGCAAATCTACGATTTTTCCCTATTCAGTATCTTTACATTAAGTCGCCTAATTCTAGAGGCAATTTTTCTTTTATTGTTCTGTGTATTATGAAAGACAATAACACTGCGGTATAAAGTAACAATGGGCACATAGCTTATAAGAGAAAATGAAAATGAAGTTACTGTATGTACTAGTGCACTGTATTTTTCTTTAGTGACAGAATGGAGTGAAAAATAGATGAGACTGGGAACAAAATCCCAAGCTCCCATTGCACAATACATAGTCACACATTCTTTACTGTAGCATCATCCTATCAACTTCTAGTTATTCAATTTCTTTTTCCTAACCGTCTCATTCTCTGGTTACCTGGATGTCTTTTATGCATTACCCATCCACTGATTTGAGAGAAAAGCATGCTTGTGGATACAAAATGGAAAGCCTAAAATAGGATTGTCTAAACAGAACTGGATTATTCAGCAAGCTTCGAAAAAGAACCTGGGCTGTAACATGGGTATTAGGCTATTTAAGGAATCGGTTGAAATCATCAATCATCAGTAAAGGTCTGACAGTTCCATCTCTCAAGAGTAAAGCTACTTCCTGGGTGGTCGCTTTAACTTTACCTTCCATATTAAATGATGAAGCAAATTTCACATTCACATTAAATGATCACTTCTGCTGAAAAAGTTATTTAATGCTGAAAAATACACAGGGAAGACTAGAAATGCACTATAAGCTAAAAAAAAGGCCCTTGCTTCCAAAATCTGCATCCTGGTGCCAAGCTCACCACTTCCAGTAGTGATAGAATTTTTTAAAACCTCACATTCTTTTAGGTTTTAGGATACAGGTTTGCTCTTTAAAAAACTCCAGGGATTCCATTCATCCAGAAGAATTTGTTTTTACTTCCTTTTTTTTTTGAACCAATGCCATATCATGGGGTACTTTTGAAACTCAGCTCCATTTCAAAATTTATGTGGCACAGTGATGTGTTGTTGGAGACCCCATAGCTAAATATAAGGCCCATGTTTTTCATTTTTTTTAAAAAAATAATCAATCCAAGGCATGTTAATAAATAAAAGTTGTAATAAAAGACATTCAGAGGTACCATGGCAGGGAAGGCTCCTCTCCAAGATAGACTGGATAGCTTGGTGAGATAAGTGTTGTGTACGTGGATTGATATCAACCTCAGAATAGGGCACCTTCAATTTGTGTCCTCTTTTTTTTTTTTTTAAATAAAAAAAGAAAGGTCACTTCTGTGTTTTAACAAAAACCTGAACAGGCAGGCAGGGAAAATGGTTCATTAAACATGTAGGCTAGCCACACCGTGGCACATTTTTTAAACATCTATTTTAACAACATAAAAAAGATTAAGGATAGATCATATTACATGCAGAATTAAAAACTCTTAATATAATGAGACCCATTATGGATACCTCAACAATGAAACATATTGATAATCTGGAGAGAGTTCAGAGAGAAACCAAGATGATTAAACGCCTGGGAACAACTAAGTTCTGGGAGAAAAGATTAAAACAATTACATATGTAGGGCTTAGTTAAATTACAACATCTTAGGAAGCTTGCTTTATCCCCCCCTTCCCCTCCCAGCCTCTAAGGCTGACCAGTCTCTCAGCAATCCAGGCTGTCAGAATTTGATCTATTGCACTTAAACATCCTATATACCTCCAAATCAACTGGAAATATTTTTATTTTAAATATTTTCCATGTGCCAGTGTTTAAGGCTGGGAAGAGGTGAACGTATCACTAGGACTTCTAATAAGAATCCCATTTTCCTCCAAATTACAATCACTGCCTCCCCTCAGCCCTTCTCAGAGCTTGGAATCTCAAGTGTCACCCAAAGGCTACAGCAGACAACTCTGATGAGCATAAATGGCTTTAAGAGGCTATTCCCCATTTCCAAGACATCTGCAGCAAAGGTGTCTCTACCCAGCTTTGAATTTTGGGTGGAAGAAATTTACTAATAGGAGAGAATTGCAAGCAAGGCTCCACGGCTGCATTTAAAACTATTTCAGAAAAAGAGAGAGGAGGAAGAAATTACTCGTTTTAAACTTAATTTGTTAATAAACCACACCACTAAAACAATCATGATGAAACTTTTTAAAGAAACAGATTAAATTAAACCAAGTGATTAACAGCATAGTTTTATTTACGTTTATTCAGGAGTTCAATTTCATTTGAATTATATAGATTTGCAGATACAGAGATCACCTGCAAGTCATCCAGCCGGAATGGACTTCGATAACAATCTGAGAATATATACTTCCAAGTATTGTACTACCTCCTGAGGAAAATACTTAGCTAAAAGTACTATAACTAGAATTTCAACAAAATTTAAGAAAGAAGCAGCACATTTAAAATTTTAAAGATGATTAATACTGATTACAGAACAGTGAAGATACTCTCAAGGATATGGGCACAACAGGATAATATTTGGTTCGTAATTCTGCCTTCGAAACAAAAGTTTAAGGCAGAATACAGCATGATCCCTCATCTCATTACTTCCAAACAACAACTCCCCCCCCCCTTTTGAGGTAGTAACCAAGGGAACTTGTAAGGTTGGGACTAGACTTGAATGGGAAGTCTCCCCGTTCCTAGTCCAATACCTTAACCTGATTCTCAATTACTGAAAAAGGAGTGACATCGGCAGTTAAATAAATTGTCTGTTATGATAGTAAAACAAGAAGGATGTATGTGGCTAATGTTTTTGATGAACTAAGTCAGCGGTGTCAAACTCGCGATGACACGTGATGTATTGCAACTCCCCGCCCCCTTGCTAAAAGGGGGGCGTGCATGCGTGGTCAGTACATGACACATCTGCCCCTCGGGCTGCGAGTTTGACATCCCTGAACTAAGTGATGAGATGATGAAGTTTGCTCTTATGCTGTTCGTAACATTTCTTCTTAAGCGGTATATAATTATTGTACGGTGTTTTTATTTTTGATTCTTCATTAGTGAAAGATTCAGGCAGCATAAAGCATTTCAGTTTACTGAGAGGAATAAAAGAGAATTCTTGAAACCATGGTACTAAAGCCATACCTAGTTGATTGGTCTTCTATAAGCATTGTTCACTGTTTATCCACCCAGCAAGAGTCAGAAGGCAGCCTAGCAGGGAGTTCAGCTTGGTGTCATGAAATCATGGAGCTGGAATGTGCTTCACTAAAATGTTGAGGTCAGGCATCAGAGCTGTATACTCAAAAGATTTGGAGTCAGTAAAGGATTAGAAAGAGAAAGAAAGTGAGGAACTCCCTTTGGAAGGAAACATAAACTGCAAATTCAGACTAGAGCCATTTTTACATGGGAAAATGTCTCAATGCAATTTAGATTCTGAGCAGAGTTGCTTGGGCCTTTGGTACAGAGTGGAGAGACAGACATAGGTTGTACGGATTTGTAAAAGATTAATCACTGTTCCAGCAGTTTTATATCAATACCTTTCACTGTATCTCTTCATAACTTTCTATCCTTACAATCAACTGGCTTCCACAATGTTTTTATCTGGTAGACACATTGCTCTTTTTCTTTCCTCTTCTCACCTCTTTTTCCAAGTTCAGCTCCATCACTTTCCTACTCCTCTCATGACCTATTCACTCTGCCTTTATGCATTTGTTTTGCAATTCAGCCCTCCTGCATTCTCTCCATATCACATTATTTTGACAAAGTTTTACACTAGATCACCATATCGTCCACAATCTTTCTATCAGCACCTGTGTAGCTAAAAAAAGTCTCCATCCATTTTTCTATGTGTATACCAAGAATACGAAATACCTAATTTACAATCATTCCCTGCATTTTCTCCATCAAACCCAATTATTTTACTATTGATATATTACTATATTTTTCCGATCTATGTTCCTTGATATAAAATTAATTGCAAATTATTTGGATTCTCAGCCAAAACAGAGAATTTGGGTACATGCCAAAATACATGCACATTCATATCCTCAAACAACACCCACTCTAAAATCACTATAAGTATTCCATACATTAATTCATAAGTAAATTAAACACCCAGGGAGGCATTACACAGTCTTGCCTTAGTTTCTATTTAGCGTTGACCATTTCCTAAGCATGTCAATTATACTCTGTATACTTTTTTTCTGCTTTTACCATATTCAGCAACCAACTTTCATCTCCATATTCACTTCAAATATTCCATACTTCAGTCTTATATACATTTTATATTCTTTGTCCAAATGAACAAACGTACCATAACATATTTTCACTTACATATATTCTTAATGACTTGCTGAAGAACAAAAATCTAATCTACATTTGCCAAATTTTTACCCGATTTTCATTTCTTGTTCCCCTGGACTCCAACATACATTATTTCAATTATTTGACATGTCAATCTCATCCCAATCACAATAGCCTTTCCATTAATTAAATAATTCTAAAAACACTTACTGAAATTATGTTGTTATTATTATGTAAATGCTTTATGTCCTTGCGGTTAAAAT